TCCACTCTTTCCATCATCAATTATTATGTGTCTTCTAGGCCATTCCCAGTAGCATACAAACATGCTATTTCTTTCATACAGCCTATGTTCACCCACATACACATAATCTTTCCCCGTCCAGCTACCCATTTTTCCATTCCCTCTTATTCAAAGATAGTCTCTTCTGTCTCCAACTTCTCTACTCCCCTATTTTCTTAAGCCCACTGTAATCAGGCTCTTGCCCTCATTCTTCCACCAAAACCTTATTTTCAAGGTCACTATGGACCTCAACATTGTTAAAATCAATGTTCAATTCTCGACTCTCAACTAACTGGCAGTATTTCTCATAGGTGATCACTACTTTAGTTAGCATCCAGGACCCCACATTCTCCAGGATTTGCTCTCACGGACCATTTCTCAGTTTCCCTTTATGGTTCCTCTTCATTACTCTCAACATCTTAAGGTTAGAGTGCTCCAGGGCAGTCTTGGTCCTTTTCTCTTTTTTCTCCATGTTTACATCCTTGGTAATCTCACGGTTTTAATACCATCCACATATTGATGATACCCAGATTAAATCTCCAACCCAGATAATTCCTGTTTGCCAGACTTATATTCTACTGCTTCCTTAAAATATCTACTTGAATGTCTGGCATCTCAAATGTACATGTCCAAAATGAAACCCTGTTCTTCACCACATCACCTCAAACTTCCCTTTTCCCTAAAAAGTGTTCCTCTTGCAATTTATAACATCTTGGTAAATGACAATTCCATCTTCGCAGTTACTCAGGCCAAAATCCTAAGTTATCTCTGATTCCTCCTTCTCCCACCCCATATCCAATCCATCAGGAAATCTTCTGGGTTCGAACTTCAAAATATATGCAGAATCCGACTACTTCTTAAACCACCTCCACTGTTACTGAAGGTCCAAGGTCCAAGCCAACATCAGTGCTTTCCTAGATTACTACAATAGGTTCCCAAGTAGTCTCCCTGCTTCTACCTTTGCTCCCTTTACAGCCTCAATAGAGTAACCTTCCCTTTAAAACATAATTTAGATCATGTCAATCCTCTGCTCAAAACAAAAACCAAATTTTTTTAAAGTAATTGAAAACTGAAATTCTTACAATGGTCTACACTCGATAAGGCCCTACATGGTATGATCCTTTCTTTCCTCTCTTACTGCCCCTCCTACTAGTCTCCCCATTGTTCAATCCAGTGCAGCCATACTGGTCTTGTTATTTCCAGAGCAATCTGGGCCTGCTGTCTACTCAGTCATTGCACTTGCCAATTCCTCTGTCTGCAGTGTTCTCCCTTCAGATATCTGCATGGCTCATTCCCTCACTTCTTTCATATCTTTGGTCAATTTATCAATGTGGCTTTCCCTGATAACCCTTATTTAAAACTTCAACCCACGCACCTTACCCAAGGCACTCCCTACTCTGCATTATTTCATTTTCCTCCATCTAACATTTTATATATAAACATATATATATGGCTATTTCACACACACACACACACACACACAGACACACACACACATACAGTTTTTGTTTGTTTTGTTCCCTATTATGTCCCCAGGGCCTAAAACAATGCCTGGCAAAGAGCACACACTCAAGTAAACATTTATTGAAAAAAATAATAATAATAAAATAAAAAACAAATCAGAGATTAGTACATAGAAGTCAAATTTATTCCTGCAGGGCAATTAAAACTTTGAAAAGAAATGTAATTTCTTACCAACCCCAAATATCTCAATTTCTTTTTTTTCTAGAATCTATTCAGAAAATTACACTGGCAAATACCATTTTTTCATTAAATCCAAACTTTATTACTTTTTTTTTTTTCAGTAGGCTCTACGCCAAGCATGGAGCCCAACACAGGGCTTGAACTCATGACCCTGAGATCAAGACCTGAGCTGAGATCAAGAGTTGGACATTTAACAGACAATGCCACACAGGCGCACCCCCAAACTTCATTACTTTTTAATCTGCTAAGGACAAAGCCTTCCCGACTCTCAGTCTATGATTCCTACAGAACTAGAATAAATGCTCAACACCGAAGTACCATATCATTCTATTAAATGTAAATATGTATATATACACATATATCTACCTTTTATGTCCATTTATTCCTTCATATCAAATGATAACACTGATTTTCTAAGATTAAGCAACCACCAATAAAAATTCCTTATAAAAAAGGGGTCAGGACTGTACTGTCAAGGTCATGGAAAACAAGGAGAGTCTGAGAAACTGGCACAGCCAAAAAGCCTAAGACATGTCAACTAAATGTAATATGGTATCCTGGATGAGATCCTGAAACAGAAAAAGGACATGAGATAAAAAACTAAGGAAATCTGAATAAACTATGGACTTTAAGTTAATAATAGTGAATCAATAGTGGTTCATTAATTTTAGCAAATGCACTATGTTAATGTAAGATGTCGGAAGCTTGGTACAAGGGTATATGGGAATTCTTTGTACTACCTTTGCAATTTTTCTATAAATCTAAAAATATTCTAAAAGATTAACTTTATTAAAAAGGAGGAGATGGTCAGGTTAGTATTGTGTCCAGTATATATCACACTCCTTTTAGTGCTAAACCTAAGCAAATCGAAGAACACTATTCTCAAATTTTATAATCAATCTCAGTATAATATATATCATTAGCACTAAGTAATAAAAAATAAAAGATACCTTATACACATGAATCACAGTTCTGGTTCAGCAATCATGCAAGAAAGCTAGTAAAATATATATATGTACTTATTTTACTAGCTCTCTTGCATTACACACACACACACACATATTTAGTACTTTTTCCCCTCTTTCTATTTCAGTTCAGAAACAGGGAAAAGACAAGAAAGGGAGGAAGAGAGAGGGAGAGAGGAGAAAGAGGGGAAGGAAAGAAAGAATGAATGAACAATGGTTCAAGCAAAGACATAAATATTTGACTAAATTCACAGGAACACAGAACTTAAACATAAATAGAATGTATGACTAAGTCACCTACAAAATGATAGGAACCTAAAAGAGATCTGAAAAGATTAAACAACAAAACTCAATTATAATTCTCAAAAAGTAGAATGAAGTTGAGATATAGTTTAGAATTTTTTTAAATAAGGAAAAAATTTCGAACACCAATTAATTACTTACAGACCTGGAAGAACTAGTAATACTAGAATAGGACACTCCAGAAGAAATATTTTTTAAAGAAAAAAAAGCTTACAAGCTTAAGGTAAAAAACCATATTATATTCATCTCTGTATTCTCCATGATGTTTGCACCTAAGAATTATTTAAAACATCTTTTAAATAAACAATTCATTTATATTATAGCTAAGGGTTAATTTTCCCTAAAAGGATATCCAAAAGCAGTGCCACAGGAATGAAGAGCAGAGAGACCAGCAATGGTTTTTCTATAACTACAATATGACATCAGAAGGAAAAAAATGTATTTGGGTTTCAAAAGCTTCTAAAGAAAAATGAATTTAATTCTTCAAGGAAATTATGTTCCCTAAATATTAATAAATACTTAAGAATGTCAGTAAAGAGGTCATATGTCTTTTTTTTAATGAGAGAACAGATTTTTTTAAGTAACAGCAACAGCTTTCTGCAAAATATCACATTTAAAAATATATTTCCTCAAGTTAAAATAAAGTATTTTTGAAAAGTAAGTGCCAGTTATACAAAATACCATAAAAATTATAGAAACCTGGCCTATAGACCACTCTTTTTAAAATTACTAGAAAGTATAAATTATAGAAAAATTTAAACAGATTATGAAGGCAGGAGTTTCAGTGCAAGTATCTAATTTATTTTAATCATATGTAAACTTTTTCATTCATCAAAACATCAGGCTTATATTTCTATAAACCAAATCCTACTTACAGAAAATGGGAGTGGGTGGGATTCTTCCCATATAGCTCTGCCAATCAGAAAACCTAAAACTATTATGGCTTATTTAGTACCCATGGTCTTTGTGGACATTTATAAAAGAATTGACTTCTCCAAGTTCTAAATGTCATTCTAACACTATAAACCAAGTTACAATTCTGATGATTTATAAGAATAAAAGTTATTTTTAAAAATAATATATTCTATATTACAACAAATGCCTTATAAACTATATTATTATATTCTAGAGAAGAGAACAAAGAGGAAAGCCAATGCAAACTCAAAAATATCTTTTCACATGTCAGTCTTAGAATTACTTCATGTAGCCACTTAAAATAATGACTTTTTAACTTTTACATAATATTTAATGATATAATAATGATGGTTTCTCTAATAATCTGGTAATAAAACTTCAAAAAGAGAGTTAATGTTATTATATAGCAGTAATTCCAATTTTTTCTAAATTATCAGAAATTCAAAATTTCTAAATTATGTTATCTTCCTAAAGTATTTAGAAGAAACTTCAAGCTTGACAAAAATCTTCATTAAATTCCTCAAAAATAAATCATAAAAATGTAAGAATTTCTTAAAGATTTATTTATTTATTTGAGAGAGAAAGAGAGAGTGAGAGCATGGAGGGGAGGGGCAGAAGGATAGGGAGAGAGAAACTTAAGCAGACTCCATACTGAGTGTAGAGCCTGGAAGCTGGGCTCAATATCACGACCCTGAGATCATGACCTGAGCCAAAATCAAGAGTCGGATGCTTAACCAACTGAGCCACCGAGGTGCCCCTGTAAGAATTTTCACAAGGTATTCTAAGAGATTCTTATTTGAAAGGGGAAAAAAACCTTACAAAATACTGGTGAAACTGTTTAAATTTCAAAAGCTTAAAACCAATTACATATTTAATCTCAACAGATAACATCTTTACTTTTCAACATATTCCTGAAAAATCAAAATGAAATATATTTATTGCCATCCACTCCAAGTCATAACCCATGTTACCAAACATGAATTCATATAAAAGCATTCTACGTAAGTTTTTACACACCTCTATCACACTTTTGAACTCACTTGGATAAATATGGATCTTTCCAACAGCAGCAGCAGTTTCTACAAAGTTATTTACCTTGTCCAGGTCTTGCAGTTACAGCTGCTCCAGCAGATGGCGGCTCAAACTCCTGTCAATTACGATAACATTATTACAGTGACCTAATATAATGCACTATTTATAATAAAATAGCAGTGATATAACAGCCTTACCTTTGCTTTCTTTGAGTCTGGATCAAACCTTTCAAGAATTAATTTAGCCGTTTTATAAGTTTCTTTTTCCATGACCTCTTCAAGCTACGAACAAAAATTTCCATAAATTGTCACACTTTAAAACATACACAACTTATTTTTGTAAGTCCTATTTCAAAAGTGTTCAAGTACAATGCTTAAACAGCATATAATATATCCAGATAGCATCAAAGACTTCCTACATTCAAATAATTAAAATCCAGATTTTAAAATGGCTTCTAACCTCTAATATGTTACTTGTATTTAACAGCTTTACTGCAAGGAAATACCAAATACTGCTAATTGTTTACATATAATGAGGAGAATAATTACATGCACCAACTTCAATAATGGAATGTGCAAAAATCTATCAGCCTTCATTATTGGAAGTTATTAGACATGACAAGCAAATGACAGGCAATTCCTCAGATTTATTTCCTCATAGCACTTAATGCTATTAATTTAAAGAAGGTCGTTAGCCAAGAGCTTTACAAAATAAAATCTCTGTGCCAATTAACTGCTGTCAGCATCGATTTTAGATTATTTATTAGCAGAAGCAATTAGCTTGCTGCAAATGCAGTGAAAACTCACTAACTGGGAGAACAGCCATGGAATTTGCTCAAATGACTTTAAAAGCTGAAGCTCCCCCTTTTTTACTTAGATTCAAACAACTTTAGAGGGAAAGAAACCATAGTAAGAATTTAAGTAAAAATTTAACTGAGTTCTATACACACACTAGGGACTGTAATTAAAACAGTTTATTATTATGGCATTTTATTTACAATACACTCAAGCCACTCTATGGCTTAATACAGGGTTTAATTTAAAAAGCAATAACTAGTAAACTATCATTTTAGCAGCTATGGCCCAGTATCAGAAAAAGTTTAATTTTAGTACAAGACAGTTGTATTATGATGAATAGCTAATGTGTAGAAGAAAATGCTTTGTAAAAACTGGAATAGGACCTTTTCCTTCTCAGTGGCCCCTGATAGCCACTTAGATTCATTAAATGTCATATTTATTCAAAAGGTCATTTATTTTAGAATACAACACAGAGCACATTTACCAAGTTAAAAAATAGAGTTAAAAATATGCTACCCAATAGTAGTTAATGGATTCCTCATTAAAAACTCAATTCAACATTTAAGAAGCTAAGTGCTTAGATGAATGATTTAACCTTGGTTTAGTGAAACTAAACATTTTCCTAATTATTTCAAAACTATGATAAATTCTCAAAACAAGTAAGTTTAATGTTCCGATGTAAAGGAAATGTTTGCAGTGTCACTTTAGAGTTGAGAAAAACTGGGAATCAAGATAGAAAAAGGACATAGCATATATCCCTAAATCTACATAGTCTATATGGAATCTACATGGAATATCAATGAACTAAATCCCTGATCTCTACAAATTAATTTTTGATGTTTTAGACCACTGTTGTGGCAAAAGAACTTTATGGAATGATAGAAATGGTTTTTATCTTCACAATACAGTAACCACTAAGCCGTATGTGACAAATGTTGCTTGTGCAACTGAGGGATGCAATTGTAGTTTTATTCCATTTTAAACAATGTAAATTTAAAAGATACATGGGGCTTTTGTCCACTGATGTGGACAGCACAGTTCTAGACGAAGATGACTGCTAGACTTAAAAAGATTAGATAACACTGTGATTTTTAAAACAACACAGAAAACTCAAAACCAAAATGCAATTTCATCAAATGACTGCAACACTTGGTACATCATTCAGCAAGTATTCATGTTTATGTCTATGTTCATGTAAAGTATCTTCAATAAAGTCATTTTTTAAAGCACTAAAAGATGTAAATATATTCTCCTTTTCTTTAGCACTTCTAACAAAAATTTTTCACATAATAGCTTAATTAACACATGTATCCATACAATATTTTAAGTGAATAACTTCTTTTAAATAGAGACATTCTGACCAGTGTAGAAAACATAAACTTTAAACTCTGAAGTCAGAAAAAATCTGGGTTCAAAGCACATCTCCATTCTTAATTACCTAGAAAGACTGAGCAATTCCACTGCCCTCGGTTTCTCTTTTTGTAAAGCAGATACACTAATATTTTCTTCATAGCACTGTTAGGCACTTTAGATATAATAAGATAAAGAGCCTATAACAGTACCTAACACAATAACACATAATCTTTAGTGATAACCCAATTATTCAGAATGGGTCTGAAAACAGCATTGCTTCCAAATACCCAACATATTCATCCCAGGATTCAGGAATGAAATATTACATTCTCAGAATTCCCTAAGATAGAAGTTGCTTTGTGTTTTTCATAATATTTTTTTTAATTTTAAATAGTAATGAATGATATAAAGATGAGTGAATTGTTCTTCTGTGATACATTATACCAAAAGTTTCAGGGCTTTTTATTTAAAAAAAATAATAAACAGTTTATTATGAATCAATATTTTGACAAGATTATATATTTCAATAATGTAAAAATTATTCCTACTTGATATAGACATTTTATCATAGATAACACTAAAAGAAGGGAACATTAATACAAATGTCAGAAAAAAATTTTTAATTTTAATAGGTAATCCTACAAATATTTAATATTTAAATTATCATTCTTGAAATAAAATTTTAAAACACACAAAACATCAATTGCTCTATCCAATATTCTTGATCTTTGCTTTGTGGCAAATATTCTAGATGTAGAAAAATTTCTTTTGTTACATATTGACTGGTCAAATTATTAGGAGTGTGCCCCAAAGCATCTTCAATTCAAAGTGTTAGGGTACACATTGCATTATTTAAACTCATCTTTTTTACAATGATGAAAATAGTCTGCTTACCCTGATTTTGGTTATACTGCTGAAATCAATATTGTTTTTACTAGTTCAGATTTTACATCATTTTCTGATTTCACATAGGAGTATTCCAAAATAATAGTCACATCTTTTCTCTCTGTATTTCTTCTGTTAAAGTATTTACAAAGATCTGTAGCCTACAGTGAATATTCAAATACTGGAAAATGGCAGCAAACGTTATTGGGTAATATAAAAATATAACATTTGAAACTTCCAGACTAGTGAAGTCAACAGCCCTACACAGAATTACATGCTGAACTTGCTAATTTAAGGACTTCTTTTGCTTCTAAAATTTATTTCATGGGATGTCATTCACAGGACTGTACATAAAATATACCATGTGTATAAGCTTATTATTACTTATTTGCAAGAATAACTCACCATTAACAAGAAACGGGGCCCATAAAACATAATATGGCCACAAAAGCAAGACTGACTAATTAGATTGTAAGACTTCTCTACTGCATGCTCCTGTCCTGTTCCCACAAATGTCCACATTAACCTATAGCTCAGCATGTCAGTATTTCTTGCTCTTTCTTTCAACTGGCATTAGTGGATTCCTTTGAACCAGTAACATTTGTAGTTAATTGTTAGGCTATAATACTCAGAGAATTATAACACTTCCTCCCATGTTCCTAATTTCTCAACTGATTTTTCTCAGGATTCAGAAAAACATAAATTCCTGAGAAATGCCAGAAAGGAATTACCATATACAAATACTATTCTTAAGGGGCACCTGGGTACCTCAGTCAGTTGAGCTCAGTAAGTCGACTCTTGGTTTCCACTCAGGTCATGATTTCAGGGTCATGAGACCCAGCCCCACCTCTGGAGCCTGCTAGAGATTCTCTCCCTTCCCTTCCCTCTCCTCTCCCTCTTCCCTGATCGTCTCCCACCCCCCACCCCGCCTTGTGCACTAGCACACACTCTCTGAAATAAATAAATAAAATCTAAAAAAAAAAAAAAACAGAAATACTATTCTTGGAAAAGTACAGCATTTTCATGAACCCACTTAAATTTCGACTTGTGTTTTGATGGATCTTGATTTTGAACTGTTTTGATGGGATGCTCACGGATGCAAAGGGATTATCTATTAAACAGTAATTTTTTTTTTTAAAAGCTGAATTTTTTTTGAGTAGCAAAATGTACACATCTAAACTTGGGAGTTTTTTAGATAATTAAAGATTAATTCTTAGTTTTATTTTAATAAATAAATACATTAAGTTCTTGATTTAAAACATTGTTAAGATACTAATTTTCCTAATTTAACTTTTTAATCAATTAATAATTCACGTTCATTCTTACAAATTACACTTACACAAATTACAAATTATATTACAAATCTATTCAGAATAAAGAGATGCATCCCTAAGGAAACCACCTTTAATAAATGTCAAGTAGTAAATGTAATTTGTATTCATTTTGTTATTGAAAGAGGAGGGATAGGAGTTGGATAATTTTAGACTGACAGTTATTTTCCTACAGGCATTTCAATAATAAAAGTATTTTTAAAGCTAAAAAATGTAGAGTTTAAACTTAAATATCCATGAACAAGATCAATTTGATTACATTTAGCTTTTGTTCAAAAGTAGTGCCCCTTCTTTTTCCTCTCATTACCAGCACAATGATCAGCAAGCACCATACTCCTTACTAACTCACCCTTAACACCTATTGTTCTAAACAAAGTGTAAAGCAACTCAAACAAAGCAGCTCTATTAAGAGCTTGAGTAATAAAGGCCAGGGACTAGTTTCCAGTAGCAACAGTCATAACCAACAACAGTCAAGTCAATGCAAATTGTGTTCCCTAATTCATGAGTTGGAGCAGCCAACTTATTTTTCTTTAATCATACTGCAAGATACATGACACACTAACCTATTCGGTAATATTGACGCCTCTTGAACCATTTAGATATAGACAACTGTTGACCCTGAACTGAATTTTCCAACTGTGAGGCCCAGATGAAGCAGCTTTATGTTGTGATTCCTTCAAGGGCTATTAAAGAAGAAGTAAATAGCTTGGCTAGTCTTTTCACAGAGTTCCAAGTCGGCTCTGTTACTTATTAAGTTTTTGCCCAATCACCTGTTCTCCAAGATTCTGCTTTCTGGTCATGTGATAGCACTGATACTGGGTCAGCTTCTCTTCACTTAAATTTTTTTTTAATTTTCTTCTTTTTTGTCTTCCTCCTTCTATTTTCTACTTTAATAAAAATTTCTCCATTTTGGTACAAGTGGGGCTTGGCTCCGATCACCTCTATCAGCTCTTCTTTTTATCACATCAGCAAACCAAGCCAATCACATCACAACTTCTATATTACTGAGAACCACTAGTATTTCCTCACTTTGAATTTCTGGCTGTTACATAATGCATGGAATGCAAGAAATATAATAAGAAATAAGGGAATATTTCTGTTTCAGGACCATTAAAAATGTCAATGCAATGTTGATAATAACTCACAGACCACTGAAGAAGCTCAAAGAGGAAATCCCCTCGGAATTAAAGTTCCTTTATTTTTCAAGCACTTAAACCCTCAAGACCAGTGTCTTTTATTACCAATTCACAAAACAATTTTTTTTAAGCTCTAGGCCCAATGTGGGGGGTTGAACTCATAACCCGAAGATCAAGAGTTGCATGCTCTACCAACCAAGCCAGCCAGGCGCCCTCACAGAACAATTTTTACATTAATCTTAACCTTCATAATTTTTATTAGTTTCATACATAATTGTTACTTATTACATGTTACACTAAAATACATTGATCATATGCATCTGATTAAATTTCATTAAATAAGTTTCTACATAACAAGCCATTGTTATCAATTATCATTTTCATACTTCAAAAATAATTATATAAAAAAGCATATGTAAATTCAAGTCAAACACAAGTTCAATTCACTTATTAGAGAGTATGATAAAACCCTCTAAACATCTAGGGCTCTTCTTCTCTTATGCTTGGCCCCCTTTCCAAACATCTGAAGGACACATCTATCTGACCCCACAAGATACCCATGTGATCAGAGCTGCTGATAGAAAATGAAAGAAAAAAAAAATTCTTTCTTTCCCCCTTCCTTCAGCCTTTTCATGTTAAATTTGACTTTTACAACCAATCTTCTTGATTCCCTCTCTCCTAGCCTTACCTAGCCTTATTGTGTCCAGAAAACCTGAGAAGTTACATATGTAGATGGATGATCCTTTTTAAAACCCTAATAATCAATCTGGATACCTACCTTTTTACCCTCTGCCTCATTTAATCCTCCAATGATTCATTTACTTGCCTCTCAGCTTCCAACTGCAAAGATTCTCAGATTCAAAAAAAGTCCACATAACTACTTTTCCTGTCAATCATTATTAACTAGCAAAAATATTCATAATTCAGCTTCATCATTAAAATGCTATCTGACAGCATACTTGTTACTTGGATGGTCATAATGTATAACAGATAAACACTGTTTATTCAGTTCTTATGTATTTGTTTTATATAAATTAATTTTAAATAAGTTAACTTACTATTTTTTTCTTCTGGGATTTTAAATCATCCAGTGCTTCATCTAGAAAACAAGATTTAAATCAAAGCTAAACCAGATATTAAGATACTTAGATACCTTAAAAATAGTATGCCAAATAATATATATTAAGCAACCATAAGAAAACTTTATCTTAGAATTTCTCACTGATGTGTACAGACAAAAATTATCTCAATCTTTATACATATATATTTCATATTGTTGCGTATATAATTACAAAGCTAAGTAGGGAAAAATTGACTTTATATAGAATAAAACTTCTTTTTTTTTTTTTAAAGATTTTATTTATTTGACACAGAGAGACACAGCGAGAGAGGGAACACAAGCAGGGGGAGTGGGAGAGGGAGAAGCAGGCTCCCCGTGGAGCAGGGAGCCGGATGCAGGGCTCGATCCCAGGACTCTGGGATCATGACCTGAGTCGAAGGCAGACGCTTAACGACTGAGCCACTCAGGCACCCCACAGAATAAAACAACTTCCAAAATTTAAAAAGACCTAAACATTTTATCAAATAGAATAAGTAATTATTAATTTTTAAATTTATAAATAAAATTATTACTTCTTCATTAAAGTTCTAGAGTAGCAAACATCTGAATACCCAAATCAAAGTATATTATTTATGTAAAAATCCAAATACAAACTTATACAAAGATTTTACTATAATTTTTCAAAATATTTTAGTTTTTAATGTGTTAGCCGACTTACTACTAAAGGGAAAAAAAAAAAAAGTCTGCTAACATCTATTTAAAGAGAATAGTCATCTACAGTTAGAGAAGACCAACCAAGTATTTATCCCTTAATCCAGAAGTCAGCAAACTTTTTCTATAAAGGGCTGGACAGTAAATATTTTAGGCATTATGGGCCAAAAGGCAAAACCAATCAGTACTTTTAAAGCAAAAGAGTAAACAAATTTCCACAAGTCTTTATTGAGAAAATTCAAATGCAATAATAATTGAGCTCAATTTTTTGTAACATAGGTCTATCACTGAAAAGAACAGAATTATTTTCTTTTGGTGAGTAGATAATATTTCACTTAAATGAGGTTCAAAGTTAGTGTTCCCTATCATCAAAACTGATTGCAAATATTAATATGTTAATGTTGATCTGTCATACAATTTGACACATCTGATTTTTGAAAATGTTTTTTCACACATATAGCTACTGCTAAATACTGAAATCAATCCTCAAGCACATGATTTTAATTGAGTATTCATTGTTTGGAAGGCATTTATAGAATTCTTTAATTCTTCTATTGATATTTGCCTTTTCTTATCATTATGTTGCACGTTAATCACTTCCAACTGAAGATAAGTGGAAGCCCCTCAACTGTACAGTTAAAATGGATTTTGAAATATGGAAATTTCCTTTGTACTTCTTGAAGTCTGAAAATCACTGCTGGATTCAGCTTCTCTTTTGGCTAAGATCAAGTGTGAAAAACACCGCTGGAACTATCGTTTGAGCTTGGATCATGTACTTGCTGCAAACTTCTGGGGGGAATGGAGATCTTGCTTCTTGTTTTAACTTTTCACAGTCTTTTTTAAAAATTACTTTGTGTCATTACAATGATATTTGTTTTCTAATTGACTTTATAGCAGTATAAGTTTTGCACATAAGGACTGTTTTGTCTTGCAATCTTAGGTTGAATTCATTAAGAACCATTATCAAGTCTGCAGCAAAAGCTAATTTTCCAAAGCCAGTCTGCATTCAATCACAGTGGTTGAAGGTGATTCTTTTCATGTAGAAATATTACACTCTAGGCCCTGAGCTCAAAATACCACAATAAAATTTTACTACTGCTGAGCCATCAAACTGCTGTGGGACTGGGCAAGTTATGATAGTCAGTTTCTATTTCTGATTAAAGTTCACATAACTGACAATGGTTAAGTTCATGACAGTAAATGAAGTTCCCCATTGACACTAATAACACCCGGTCAGTTCAAATATGCTCGGCAAAGCACCTACTGTCACATAACACAATGAATAACCACAAAATTGAAACACTTAACAGTTTCGCAAGTTTGTAAATTAATCCAAATAAGCATTTTTCTGCTTCCCACATTTTTTTAGTATAGTTGACACACAATGCTACATTAGTTTCAGGTATACAACTTAGTGATTTGACAAGTTTATACATTATGCTATGTTCACAAATGTAGCTACCATCTGTCCCATGACATCACTATTATAGTATCACTGACTGTATTCCTTATGCTGTGCCTTTTATTCCCATGACCTACTCACTCCATAACTCAAGGCCTGTATCTCCCTCTCCCCTTCACCCATTTTGCTCAATCTCCCACCCTCCTCTCCTCTAGCAATCATCAGTTTATTCTCTGTATTTACAGGCTTGATTCTGCTTTTTATTCATTTTTTTAGATTCCATTTATGAGTAGAATTATGTTATTTGTCTTTCTCAGTCTGATTTTTTTCACTTAGCATAATACCCTCTAAGTCTATCCATGTTTTCTCAAATAGCACAGTTTCATCCTTTTTTATGGCTGTGTAATATTCCATTGTATACGTATATATTTACATACACACCACATTTTCCTTATCCATTTGTCTATTGACACTTCAGTTACTTCTGTGGTTACTGTAAACAGTGCTGTAATAAACATAGGGGTGCATATATCTTTTCGAGTTGGTGTTTTCATTTTTTTCTGGATAAATACCCAATAGTTGAATTATTGGAGCATATGGTATTTCTATTTTTAATTTTTTGAGAAACCTCCAAACTATTCTCCAGAGTGGCTGTACCAATTTACATTCCCACCAACAGTGCACAAGGGTTCCTTTTTCCCCATATCCTCACCAAAACTTGTTTCTTATCTTTTTTGATTTTAGCCTAACAGGTGTCAGGTGATATCTCATTGTAGGTTTGATTTGTACTTCCCTGATGATTGGTGATGTTGAGCATCTTTTCAAGTGTCTGTTGGCCATCTGTATATCTTCTTTGGAAATATTTTACCAGCAATATTTATAATACATCTTAGCAGATTCCACTTCAGGTTGGACTGAATTGGCATTTTTTCAACTTTGAAAATATTCTGTCCTGGAGTTGTTTTACACAGACTTTACATAGAAGTTAATTCAGTAACTTCAAGGTCAGTATTGATTCCTCAAATAAACTACAACTCAGCTGTATCGGAGCCAAGGAAGATCACTTGAAATCATTTGCCATGTTTTTAAATTGACTATCTTGCTTCCAATATTCTCAGTTCTTCAAGCAATTGTTCTTGCCAAAAGGCTACTTACTAATTAAGCAAGTATACCTTCTCTGAACACATTTTTTCAGCTGCTGCAATCAAACACAATTTAATTAATTCACCATCAGTAAATATATGGCTTTCCCTGCTTCACTAATAAGCCACTCAGAAACTTACTTAGTTGAAGCTCCATTTTCACTTTTTATTTTTATGAAGAAATTCAGCTACGATGAGATATTCCATTTTAAATGCTCTAATTTTTCTGACCATTGTTTTTCCCTGAGTTGGGAATGTCAGGAGTACTTAGTATGGTAATGTCAATGTATATTTGTATTCTTTTAGCACAGCTATAATGTCATTGAATAATAAATACAATGCTTTGTGTTTTGATAACAAAATAATCCACAGTCCACGGTGCCCAAAAATACAACATTCAAAGTCCAACCCTTTCTTCTTTTGTTGTTTTTACACGTTGAGTATGCACTGATAATTTAAAAAAAAAACTAAAATTGTCACAATATATATGGCACATGAAATGTCAACTTATAATTTTGTCACTGTGATTTGTTGTACATCCTGCAACAGTCTGAAGTGTTGAGAGCACTACATACAGTTTGTCACAACTACTTAACTCTGCCACTGTAGGATGAAAGCAGCTACAGACAACATTTAAATGAATGGGCAGTGTTTTGCTCCAATAAAAACAGAAATTTGAATTTCAAATTCAATAAATATAATATCAAAAAATATTCTTTTGAATTTTTCAATGATTTAAAAATGTAAAAATAATTTTTTTTAAGATTTTATTTATTTATTTATTTGACAGAGAGAAAGAGAGCACAAGCAGGGGGAGTAGCCAAGGGAGAAGCAGGCTCCCTGAGGAGGAGGGAGCCTGATGCAGGGCTCAATCCCAGGACCTTGAGCCAAAGGCAGACGCTCAACCAACTGAGCCACCCAGGTGCCCCTAAAAATCATTCTTAAATCATGACCTATACAAGGTGGTGGGCAGGACTTGGCCCACAGGCTATAGTTTGCCAACCCTTAATCTATACTAGGTCCAAGGTATAAAACAAAGGAAATAAAACTAATAGAGAACAAAAACCAAGGACACAATGAATAGCTTCAGGCTTAAACATGACTTTATGCTAAAAAAAAAATTTATGTAGGACTGTAAGATAATTTTTTCTGAAGTCTATTTTAAATGTACATGTAATACCTATTCAATTGAATTAGTAAATTTTTTTAAATAAAAGGATCCCTGAAATAAATTTTTAAGTAATCCCTTAATTTTTTTTTAATTTTATTTTATTATGTTATGTTAATCACCATACATTACATCATTAGTTTTTGATGTAGAGTTCCATGATACAATAACCATATCGTGGTGTGCCTATTTGTAAGTTAAAATATTCATACATTTAATTTCCTTAGAAAAGTGTTTCCAAGCACTCTTATATTATATATCCTATATAATACAAAAGAGGATATTAATATATATATTATATATATTATATTATATCCAAGCACTCTTATATTTTCTACTATTTTGTTAATTCCATGAGGTCAGAGAGCATATTTGTTTTAAACTTCTTCCTGTCCTCCTAGCATCTACCATATTACCAAATATCACTGGAAACAACACCATAAGCTTAATTTCCTTAATATGAGAGTAAGTATCAATATTTTTTAAAACCACAGCAAACATCATACTTAATGATAAACGTTAAAAGCTTTTCCACTGAGAATCAGGAACTAGACAAGGAATCTGCTATTCCCACTTCAACTCACTATTATACTGAGTACTACCCCATTAAATAAGACAAGAAAAATTAAAAAGACAAGAAAAATAAAAAATAAAAAAGAATAAGGAACAGAAAAATCACTACCATCGGCCTACATGTATATTAACACTTTGCAATTTTTATATACTTTGGTATATAGTTTCACTTAATACTCATAATAATCCTTCCTAAACAAATATTTCATATTTATGATGATGATAATACATGTTCCCACTTTACAAATTAGGAAACTGAAGTTCAGAGAATTAAAACTTATCTGTAGGATGAAAAGACATCATTGAAATCATTGAAAAATTCAAAAGAATATTTTTTGATATTATATTTATTGAATTTGAACAAAAGTGAAAAAAGAAGAGTAGAGAGAGATGAAGTTAGAGAATGAGCATAAGCCAGAAAGTAGGCTAAAAGAATTCAGATTTACTCTGGCTGCCATGGGAGGCCATTAGAGAATTTGAAGCAGAAAAGACACAATTCATTTATACCTTAAAAATAGACTAGTTAGGAAGCCACTCCTAGTACAAGTAGGAGATGATGATCACCTGAATTAGAACAGTAGTTGTAGTAAAGCAGGTTAGAAGTTCAGATCTGAAATAACTGTGGAGGTAGAGCTGATTGGACTTTGAAGGGGAGAGAGAAATGCATGGAGATTAAAGGGAATATGAAGTCAGGATAGGGTTTCTCCCCCCCCAGCTGATTATATGGAAGCGAGATTATACACCAATAGAGACAATCCAATAGAAATAGTTAATACAAAAGAGGATAACTGCAGGAAGAGATAACTGCAAGAACAAAGTTCTTGAGATGGACAGAATATCCAGAATCCAAAGTATAAATGGAGGGCTTAGCCATAGACAGAATCAAGGTCAGTCTTCCAGACTACCATTGAAGGATGACAACATACTGAGTAACAGATGGAGCTTGATATATTTGGTGGTGGAGGTAGCTCTCATCTGTTTATATCTTTTTTCTCCATAAAGTAAGACTATCACATGAGAGTAGCCAGGTAGATTTTTGTGCGATTTTGCTTGTCTGTGTATTTTGAATTTTTATTTGGTTGGTTGGTTGATTGGTTTTATTTTGGTTTGGTTTTTGTTTATTTGCAGGAAGGCAGGTATTAGTTGTTTGAAGAGAAATACAATCTCAAAAAATACTCTCAAAGAGAAAAAAGTAAATTTTCTAGGGAACTATGAAATAGGACTGTGCAGCAGTACATGTATTTACAGTAATAGATTTAAAATAAGTCTGGTCAGGGGCACCTGGTGGCTCAGTCAGTTAAGCATCTGCCTTTGGCTCAGGTCATGATCCTGGAATCCAGCCCCACATCAGGCTCCCTGCTCAGCAGGGAATCTGCTTCTCCCTCTCCCTCTGCTCCTCCATCCCCCCCACAACTCATGCTCTCTCTCTCAAATAAATAAAAAATAATCTTTTTAAAAAATAAAAAATTAAATAAGTCTGGTCACTACGCTGTATGATTTTCCTCTAATAAATTTAGCTTTTCTGATGCAGATAGATTAAGCTTTAAAAGTTTTTAACCAGGATAGAGTTTTGCCAGTCATAGATTAAGCATATAATTATATTTAAAGAAGGTACAGTTTTTGCCAGACAAGTAGGATGGAAAAGAGGGGCAAAGGAATCAAGGGTATCTGCAAGGAATGGTCATTGCGCTAGCCCAGTGAACCTAAGCCAGGTTGAAGAGAAGTCATAACTCAGGGGGGAAGTTCGAAAGTCATATATCTGTATGAACCTTATTTGGATCTTGAATCAAACAAAATATATTTAATATTTTATGATATTAAGAATTCTTTTTCAGATATGATAATGTTATTGCATTACATTAATGATAATGTATTGTATAATGTATTTTTTTAAAAAGCCTGTCATGGATAGATATAACTGGGATATACTTCAAAATAATACAGTAGGTAGATAAGTAGGTGGGGTTAAAAATTAAAAAACACTAACCATGAGTTGATGATTGTTTACGTTGTGTGATAGGTATATGAGGACTTATTATACTATTCACCCTACTTTTGTATATGTAATTTTGTATGTGAAATTTTCCACAATGAAAAGTTAAAACAAGAAAGAAGTCACAATAAAGTTCATTTAAATGAAATTTATATCTTTATTTAATTATAACTCATACTTTTAAGACCTGAAAAACTTTAAAATATATAGATACACAGAATACAGAAGGAAGTATTATCATAATTTGCATATTTCCATAAAAACAAAAGCCTAGGAGCTGTGAGGTTAAAGAGAACGGTACAATTAATAGAACAAATCAAAAGATGTCTAACTATGTTCTACTCTATAATAATGTAAGTTTTGTATAAAGATTAACAAATACTTTCAATTTAAGAGATGAATTAATGAAATGAATTATTTTGTGTAAAAAAATTCTAAATGAACAAGACAAAAATAACACAAATGAAAAAGAGAATCCTCTTGATTATTCAAAATGCTTGATAGTAAACAACCCTTCAATATTTACAAGATTGTCATTTCAATACACCATTTCACAACCTGCCATTCAGTTACAAACCAATGCACTATAAGAAGGTGTTTTTTTAAATGTATTTATAAAAACTTAGAAATTAAACTTACTATTTCTTTCTGTTCTCTTGGAAAAGAAGAAAATAAGCACTGTTCTTATGCTCCAGATGCTACAGAGGAAGCAAAATTGAGAAACAAAAACCATCATTAGGATAAGTGAATTAGAAGCCATATAAAATGAAAACAAATATACATTTCCAGTGAGAGTTCAGTACAGTGCTTCCCTTTATATTTTGAAAACCAGGAAGTACTCTTTCTTTCAGAGACATCAGAGGTCTATATCTGCTTTCAAAAGAGTTCTCAATCTAAAATCCACAGACCTTCTGAGGGTCCCCCAGAATTATGAAATTGCCTTTGTGTGCGTAAGTGTGTTTCTCTGGAGAGACCACTGTGTTCATCACTCTGTAAGGAGTCTATGAAATGCCTCCCCAAAAAAAACAAAATATAGAATCCCTTCTTACTAAGTAAGCATCAACTCCAAAAATCTATCTATTCCCATGCACTGAGGGAAAATCACATTTTACCCCAAATCCAGCACATTGTACAAATATAAGTTATTACTACTTCCCTATTATTTAACATCTGAAGGATCTTCTCTACTAAATAAAATAAGCTATCTAGAAGAAAAAAAAAAAGCTTACCTTCAAGTAAGTACTTGATAAGTAAACTGAGCTAAACACCATCTTTCAAAGATTTTTATGAGGAGAATTCTTTGGGCCTTACATCAGTAAAACATCAAATGATATTAAAAGTAAGTCAAAGAATGATCCTAATCACAAATTTGTCAAGATAATCTCTTAAATTCAGTGTAAATATAGCAAAATACCTCTTTCTCCAAAGAACATGGCAGAACGCATACAAACATTATTCATAATTTTATAAAAGCAATACATTGTAGGGGTGCCTGGGTGGCTCAGTTGGTTAAGCATCCAACTCTTGATTTCGGCTCAGGTTATGATTTCAGGGCCATCCAATGATCAAGCCCTGGGTCAGCTCTGCGCTGGGTGTGGAAGCTGCTTAAGATTCTCTCTCTCGGGGCACCTGGGTGGCTCAGTTGGTTAAGCGACTGCCTTCGGCTCAGGTCATGATCCCAGAGTCCTGGGATCGAGTCCCGCATCGGGCTCCCTGCTCAGCAGGGAGTCTGCTTCTCCCTCTGACCCTCCCCCCTCTCATGTGCTCTCTCTCTCTCTCTCATTCTCTCTCTCAAATAAATAAATAAAATCTCTAAAAAAAAAAAAAAAAAAAAGATTCTCTCTCTCCAATAAAGAGTTTCCAGGACAAACAACAACTAAAGGAATTTGTGAACACTAAACCAGCCCTGCAAGACATATTAAAGGGGGTCCTTTGAGCGGAGAGAGAGCCCAAAAGTAACAAAGACCAGAAAGGAACAGAGACAATCCATAAGAACGGTGATTTTACAGGTAATACAATGGCACTAAATTCATATCCTTCAATAATTACTCTGAATGTAAATGGACTCAATGCTCCAATCAAAAGACACAGGGTATCAGAATGGATTAAAAAACAAGACCCATCAATATACTGCTTACAAGAGACTTATTTTAGACCCAGACACTTCCAGATTGAAAGTGAGAGGGTAGAGAACCATTTATCATGCTAATGGACATCAAAAGAAAGCTGGAGTAGCCATCCTTATATCACACAAACTATATTTTAAACCAAAGACTTTCATAAGAGATGATTATATTTATTATATCATAATAAAAGGGGCTATCCAACAAGAAGATCTAACAATTATTAATATTTATGCCCCTAACTTGGGAGCAGCTAAATATATAAACCAATTAAAAATAAAATTAAGCTCATTGATAACAATACAATAATAGTAGGGGACTTGAACTCCCCACTCACAGCAATGGACAGATCATCTAAGCAGAAGATCAACAAGGAAACAAGGGCTTTGAATGACACACTGGACCTGATGGACTTCACAGATAAATTCAGAGCATTTCATCCTAAAGCAGCAGAATACACATTCTTCTCAAGTGCACAGGAAACATTATCCAAAATAGATCACACACTGCGTCACAAATCAGGTCTCAACCTGTACAAAAAGACTGAGATCATATCATGCATATTTTCAGACCACAGTGCTATAAAACTTGAACCACAAGAAAAAATTGGGAAGGAACACAAATACATGGAGGTTAAATAATATCCTACTGAAGAATGATTGGGTCAACCAGTAAATTAAAGAAGAATTTTAAAAATTCATGGAAACAAATAAAAATGAAACACAACAGTTCAAAACCTTTGGGATGCAGCAAAGGCAGTCCTAAGAGGGAAGTATACAGGCCTTCCTCAAGAAACAAGAAAAGTCTCAAATACACAACCTAACCGTACACCTAAAGGAACTGGAAAAAGAACAGCAAATAAGGCCTAAATCCAGCAGGAGAATAGAAATAATAAAGATTAGAGTAGAAATCAATGATATAGAAATAAAAAAACAAAACACTAGAACAGATCAGTGAAACTAGGAGCTGGTTCTTTGGAAGAATTAATAAGATTGATAAGCCCCTAGCCAGACTTATCAAAAAGAAAAGAGAAAGGACCCAAATAAATAAAATCATAAATGAAAGAGGAGAGATCACAATCAACACTGAAGAAATACAAACAATTATTAGAGAATATTATGAGCAATTATATGCCAACAAATTAGGCAATCTGGAATAAATGGATAAATTCCTAGAAACATATAAACTACCAAAACTGAGACAAGAAAAAATAGAAAACCTGAAAAGACCCATAACCAGCAAAGAAATTGAATTAGTAAAAAAAAATTTCCCAACAAACAAGAGTCCAGGGCCAGATGGCTTCCCAAGGGAATTCTACCAAACATTTAAAGAATTAATACCTATTCTTCTGAAACTGTTCCAGAAAATAGAAATGGAAGGACAACTTCCAAACTCTATGAGGCCAACATTACCTTAATCCCAAAACCAGACAAAGACCCCACTAAAAAGGAGAATTACAGACCAATATCCCTGATGAACATGGATGCAAAAATTCTCACCAAGATACAAGCTAATAGGATCCAACAGTACGTTGAAAGGATTATACACCATGATCAAGTGGGATTTATTCCTGGGCTGCAGGGGTGTTTCAACATCCTCAAGTCAATCAATGTGACACACTACATTAATAAAAGGACAAGAATCATATGATCCTCTCAATAGATGCAGAAAAAGCATTTGACAAAATACAGCATCTTTTCTTGATAAAAAAAAACTCTCTGCCATGTAGGGATGGAGGGAACATACCTCAATATCATAAAAGCCATATACAAAAGACCCACAGCGAATATCGTCCTCAACAGGGAAAAACTGAGGGCTTTTCCCCTGAGGTTAGGAATACAACAGAGATGTCAACTCTCACCACTGTTGTTTAACATAGTACTGGAAGTCCTAGCCTCAACAATCAGACAACGAAAAGAAATAAAAGGCATCCAAATAGCGAAAGCAGTCAAAACTTTCACTCTTCGCAGATGACATGATACTCTACGTGGAAAACCCAAAAGACTCCACCCAAAAATTGCTTGAACTGATACAGGAATTCAGCAAAGTCGCAGGATATAAAATCAATTCACAGAACTCAGCTGCATTTCTATACACTAACAATGAAGCAGAAGAAAGAGAAATCAAGGAATTTTAATTTTACATTCGATACATTGTAAATTTGGTACATTTACAATTATACCAAAAAGATACCTAGAAATAAACCTAACCAAATAGGTAAAGGATCTGTGCTCTGAAAACTACAGAATACTTATGAAAGAAATTGAGGACACAAAGAAATGGAAAAATATTCTATGCTCATGGATTGGAAGAACAAATATTGTGAAAATGTCTATGCTACCCAAAGCAATCTACACATTCAAAGCAATCCCTATCAAAATACCACTGACATTTTTCACAGAGCTGGAACAAATAATTCTAAAATTTGTATGGAACCAGAAAAGATCCCGAATAGCCAAAGGAATGTTGAAAGAGAAAACCAAAGCTGGTGGCATCACAAAGCCAGACTTAAGCTCTATTACAAAGCTGCAATCAAGACAGTATGGTACTGGCACAAAAA